GATGCGTGATCACTTGGCTTACCCGAAGGACAAAGCAGAGCAGTGTAGTGGAAAGAACATGAGTGCAAGAGTCAGAGAAGGCCACACTCACATCTTGGCCCTGCCAAGGTGGTTGTGACGATCAGATTATTCACATAAAGAGCCCAGGGGGATAGCTGGATTCCCCGAGGCCTGAGATGAAAGTCTTACATGAGCAAGGTGAGCTCTTTCAAGGTTCTGTCCTAGATGAGTCTCCTGCCCACCACCCACAGACAACTCTGTGATAGAGATCATCTTAACATTTTATTTGTCATTAAGCAAAGCTATTTTGATTTTTCAGTGAATTTTTATTGCTTATAAAAAAACTACATCAAAAACAACCGCCATAGTCTAGGTACAAGCTGGCAGTGTAAACGCTTTGTGGGGGATGGTGCATAATTAGGGCATTATGAGTTCTGATTGGCCAGATTGGATTGCCAGACTACTGGCAAGTTCACAAGGGAGCAGGGTGTGGTAACTGCCATGCAGTAAAGTAATGCTTTATGTTCCACAACCAGATGTCAGCTGACCTTACCAGTCTGGACCACAAAGTGGGATCCCATTTATGTTTATGCCTAATATACACTGGTTAGTTTTGGAATTCCCAAAGAGGGCCTCACATATGCCCACAAACCAGCATGTTAGCTGCAGCCACTGTGAGAAAGTCACCTCCCCTATGTAGTCTTCCTCTCCTGTTCCTGGGCTGCTGAAGCCAATACTGAGTCTGCACTGATGTCATCAGTGGGCCAGTGTGTTGTCTGTGCACGTTCCCCCCCAGTTCTCAGGGAGCTTGAATGTCATTTCCAAACAGAGATGGGGAGATAAGCTCCTTTTCCAACTCAGTGCTACCTTATATCAGCCAGGCTCAGAAACTGCTCTCCTTGCATTTTGAGATCTCACAGTCTCTCATAAACAATGTGGACAGCTCCCAAGCCTCACCCAGAAGCAGCCTCTAGTGAAAACAGTCCCATCAGTTCTGGCCCTTACTCTGAGTGCAGGGGCTTAATCCCAGTCTAAAGGCCGGATGGGAAGACTCCACACCATCCTTTACTCCCTCTTCCCCCTTCCTGCTGGTCCCTGTCCCTTCTCCTCCTATCGTGACTCCAAATATATCAGTGGATGCAAACAGACATTGACAGTGCTGGTGGTAAAGGGTGTTAGCTACATTGGTAGGGTCTGGGACCAATTTATCCTAAGTAAATATTTGATGAAGTTTAATTCAGGGTGTTATGCAGGTGAAATACTGCAAAACCACATCTCCACCTTAAAAAAATCGCTGAAAACATGCCTACATTTATATTGCATGGTTTGTGGAAACAACACCTGTGTGAATGTAGTTGGGAGCGTGAGGGGAGGCAGTGGAGCATCCTGCATGCTTATTTGAAGCCAGGAGTGTGTTGTGTGTCTGGTGTCAAGGCCTGCAACTGTAATTAAGCCTTGGCACATTCATTGGTGTTCCCCTGGTTATTCTTGTGTCTTAGGTAGGTAGTACAGTGCTGGGATCACAGCAAAGGCTCGGCAAGAGTTTGAACAGAAACACTGCTCGGGCCAAACAAACCACATGTATGGGAATCTGTAACCTGGTCTGCCCCAGGATCTGAGTCGGCCTGTGATATGGAAAGGCTGACAGCTAGCAAATGACTGTTCCAAGTGCCCAGCCCGTGGATGCTCCGTGGGGGTCTGGGCAATCATTCTTTAGCGCTCCAGTGGCAGCACTTGTCACCAGTCCAGCCAGCTCAACTGCAGGATCCTCCAGCTGCACCGTACTGCCCATAGGCCCTGCCTGTACTGTCCTTCCCATAGTAGACTGCTGGAAATGTTGTATAATAATGGGGACCTGTGCTTTGCTGTCGTATAGACCTGGGTCAAATCTTTGATCTGTCTCTTTGCCAGCTGTGGGACTTCTGGCAATTTACTCAATCCCTTGGAGCTCCAGTTTTCTCTGTAGAATGGACAATAATACCAGCCTCAGAGTGCTGCTATAGAATTGAGAGGAGATAAAGTATGTACAGCACCCAGTACAGTGCCCAGCATGCAGGGGGTCCCTTCTTCCGTTATCACCAACAGTCTTGCCTTAGTTCTCTGAGCCCCCAGACAAGGCTGCTGAGGATTCTGCAAGCCTTTGGGAAGTGGATCATTTCCACAGTTCCTTCCTAAGGTCCCAGGCTGTATTAAATATCATTTCATTTTGTTCCTCAGAACCTTGAGAATGGCTTCTAATTAGCCTACCACTCAGAACAGAATTGGACCAAGACCTTCTGACTAGCCCTGCAGCTCCATGAACACACTAGCTATTTTGCAAATGACCTAGGCTCTCCCTGATTGCTGTGGATAAAGGTCCAGGGAATTGCCTCTGTTGGAGTGATATTCACTGGGCTATTCACAGCATATCTGGGAAGTAGTTTCCAAGCATGGGGAAGAGCTAGTAAAAGACTCTATTGATAGATGAAGAATACTATTCCGTAACCAGATTTAGGAATCAGTCAGTTCTGAGTTCCAACCCTCATCTCTGTCTTTTGCTAAGTGTTGCCTTTGTGCCACTCACTTAGCATTTGCTGGCCATTTAAATTTTGTCATCTATAAAAATAGAATCAAATACATATTCTTGCAGGACTGTTGAGATCTAAAAAAATTAAGGTCTGTAGAGTACCCAGAACTGCACTAGTACATTGGAATGGTTGAGTTAATAGTAGCTGTTATTATTATTATTTCTATTACTTACCAGAGACACCTCCAGCAACATAAATGGCCATTACTATTGCCATTGAAAGTCCAATATTGATAGTGATGATTCCTCCATGACGTCCTCGGCTGAGGACAGCTTGGGCAACACAGCCACATCCAAGGACCTGGAATGAAAGGGAACTCAACAAGTAAGTGAAGATGGCCACTGTCAAAGACAATGGAAAGTCAGAGTAACAAGAAGCATTTTTCAAGCACACTCATGGCTTGGACTGCCATAGGCCTCGTGCAAATCAAATGATAATCTTCCAGCTGTGCACAGGTAGCAAAATGATGGTCCCAAGGCTGCATCTGGCTTATGGATGAGTTTTGTTAAGACTGAACAGTGTTAAAATGTTGTATGAATTTATAAACCAAGTGATTTGGTAATCATTTCATAATATATATAAATATCAAATCATTATGTTGTAAAACTGAAACTAATATAATGGTGTATGTCAATTATACCTCAAAAGGAAGGAAGGAAAGAAGGAAGGAAGGAAGGAAGGAAGGAAGGGCAGGAAGAAGTAAGGGGGGAAGAAAGGAACATTTGGTGAGGGAGGGTTATTGGAAAAGATGAAACAGTCACATACAAGTTTGGTAGGAAAACAACAGGACAACGAATCACCATCAGCCTTTGTCACTCTGTGGTTGAAAGAGCCAGTGTGGTCCTGGAGGAATAAGTTCTGGGCTGCAGGATCATTAGATCATTGCTCTTAGATGTCAAGTAGCCACAACTTTTTGTAGAATACAGGTTCTGTTTTGGGTTTTATAACTAAAGAAGAGCAACCAACTGGAGGGAGGGCTCAGCATCAAGTAATGGATATTATTTAAGGGCATATGAAGAAAGGTTTCAGAAACAAACGTATTTAAGGAACAAGAGATTAAGAATGTGAAGACTTCTTATCAGGAAGGTAATAACCAGCTCTTGTGTCCCTTCACAAAAGAATGAGAAACGAAGTCTGAACCTGAAATATGAGAAGTTGCACATAAGTCATTTCCTGATAGTGATGAATTAATTCTAAATAGCTCCCTTGGGACCCATTTGTGGAGTCCTTCAGAGAAATACAATTTAGAAACAATGGATATTTAATACATATAGAACGATTTTGGTTTACTCCTCCCTGAAGGCAGAGAAATTACCTAGATGATCTTTTAACATCCACTCCAGTCCCTGATTCTAAGATATATTGATTTAGCTCTACCTGATAGACAGTAAGGAGAAGTGGGACTTGACATCTCAAGGGGAGCACAGGGGCTGCATATCACATGCACAGGGCTGTCTTTGACGTTAATCACAGACTCCAGACCCTGTACTGAGAGCTAAATAAAGTTGCAGCAGGAACATGTTCCCTTTTCCCTTTCCAAAAAGAAAAAAATCCCTTGGGTTCGTTTCATAGCCTACCAATTTCACCTAGGCTTGACATTATTTTTTTCTAGGATCCCTATCTGTTATAATAACTGTCAGAATACCGTATGCTAACACATATATATGGAATTTAAGAAAAAAAATGTCATGAAGAACCTAGGGGTAAGACAGGAATAAAGACACAGACCTACTAGAGAATGGACTTGAGGATATGGGGAGGGGGAAGGGTAAGCTGTGACAAAGCGAGAGAGAGGCATGGACATATATACACTACCAAACGTAAGATAGATAGCTAGTGGGAAGCAGCCGCATAGCACAGGGAGATCAGCTCCGTGCTTTGTGACCGCGTGGAGGGGTGGGATAGGGAGGGTGGGAGGGAGGGAGACGCAAGAGGGAAGAGATATGGGAACATATGTATATGTATAACTGATTCACTTTGTTATAAAGCAGAAACTAACACACCATTGTAAAGCAATTATACTCTAATAAAGATGAAAAAAACCCACAAAAACCACACTGTGTCTTTCTTTTTAATTTATAGCCAATTAAATGCACCTGGCACAACTTCCAAGCTAACTGGCATTTTGGTAGCATCTTCTGAAAAAAGGAGAAAAACACTCCTGACAGCTGAGATGACCTGATTTAGACAACCGGGGGTAAGAAGAGACACATCCAGACACTGGCCAGTCCTGAGCTATTACTACTTTCCACATAAGCTTCTTCCCTCTTTTATGGTCTGATGTTCATGCACTTGTGATAGTCTACAGGGGGCGTAAAAGCTTTAAATGGCCTGAGTGGACCTGGGGAGGCTTCTGTCCTGTCAAACTTCATTGTGATTAATACTCTCCTCTTCTACCCTAGATGTTGAAATTGCTTTTTTGTTCTTTTCTAGAGAGGATAACTGATGCTGTGCACTGCAAGAAAGGAGCAGATGGAGAAATGAACAAGGTAAGTTACCCTAGTCAGAAATTGTTACTCAGAGGATTTCAGCCCAACTTGACATCACTGCTTCTTAATTTTTAAATACATTCATACAGCCCGAAAATCAATGAGGAAGACAGGTAATTGCCTGCTAGTATCTTTCCTTGCCTGCTTCATCCCAGCTGCATTCACAGCAGCAGGGAAGCAGATCTGGGATAGTCTAATGTTATCATGGTCTGAGTGCTAGGGAATTGGTCATCCACTCTGGTTTCCTTCTTCTCTGTGCCCACTGTAATTTTTTTCCTTAAAAAAATGAGAGAACTGTTGTTTATGGTGTTACTGATAGAATTTCCAGCATGATTCCGTGCTCTAACCTTTAAGAACTGCCATACTTTCCCCCTTCTTAGACACAGAAAGAGCCAACCTGTCTCAATTTTTCAGGTCTCCCTATCTAGAAATCTTTTTTTGGACCCATCACCCTTTCATATTCTTCTCACTAAACCTAACCTCTTTTCTCTGAAATTCACTTGTACTGTCTGTACTGAACAGTTAATACTTAGTTGTTCTCCAGATGCCTGATCTAGATTTCCTTATCTAGAAAACAATCTCTAAGATTCCTTTACATGCCAACAGGCAACAATATGCTAGTCTATCCTGTTTTATTCTGTTTCCTTGGGTGTTGTGTTTCCCAAGTCCACCATCCATATGCATGCCATCAACAGACCGTCAAGGTCTCTTCCACCTTCTTGTCAGGATCCAGCACCTACCTTCTCCAGGTAGGTAAAAAAAATCACAAAACCATGTAGGGGAGGGAGGGTATTACAAAGCCATGGATCTAGTCTTCACTGTGCCCCCAGAAGTCTTCGTTCATTTCTCATTCATATTCTCCCAATAGTTTCATCAAGCCTTCTCTTCTCTCATTAGCCCAAGACACCTGAGCCCCTTTCTGCAAATAATATCTCCTTCTACTTGACTCAGTACCTGTAGGTGGCCTTGAAGATCAATGGCAATTCAGAAGATCACATAAACATTGTGTTCCGGTTATTCAGTGCTACGAAACTAACTACTCCCAAACTTAGTGGTTTAAAATGGTAACATTTATTTTGCTTGTGAATCTATCATTTGGGCAAGGTTTGGTAGAGCATCTTACGTCTGCTCCATTTGGTATCAAATGTGGTGGTTCAAAACTTGAAAGACTGGAATTATCTGAAGGCTCACACAGTCACATGTCTAGTGGTTGATGTCAGCTGTCAGCTGATGCCTCAGCTGGTGGGTTGGCCAACACATCTACAAATGGTCTCTGTGTGGCTTGGCTGAGTTCCAAGGGTGAGCACTGTACAGCCTTCAGAGCCTGCGTTCTTAAACCCTGCATCATGCTACCTCTCGGCCATAGCACTGCTTTGGTTCTGAACTCAATAGCACACAAATTACAACATCTTTAATAGGCATTAACTTGGCCCATGTTGGTTACCTTTAGGAATAGGGAGCTCATTACCACATCAGGTAGCTTGTTCTAAATATTTTTGGTGTTCCAGTGGTTGGGGAGTCCTTCCTTATATGAAGTTGGAGTCCTTTTTTCCCATAACTTCTGTTCATTAGTTCCTGGCTTACTCTTGGGACCTCAGAGAAGAAGCCTGTTTTATACACCAGGCACTCCATTAAGTAGAGGGAGCAAAAGGTCCTCCCTGAGTTCTTTTCTGCTGGATGTTTGTCCCTTCGCCTTTGATCCCTAGGGCTCCTCAGATTCCCAGTGAGTGTCACCTGGATAAGCTCTAGGTTGTTAGCACCCCTTTTAAGCACGGAGCCCAGGAATGGACACAATCCTCCCTTATTTTTTTTAAGCTTTTAGAAATGTTTATTATTTAAGACCAAAAATCCTGTGTAGGCTCCTTATAGAGAATATGAGGAATATATAAAAATATAAAGAAAAAACCCAATCACAATGCCTTTACCTATGAACAGACATTATAAACATTTTGGCTTATTTCTCCCCAGTAACTTTAAAAATACTTATTTATTTATTAAAGTATGATTGACCTAAAACACGATTCACTATTTTCATACATTACAAAATGATCACCACAAGTCTAGTTACCATCTGTCACTATACAAACTTATTACAGTATTACTGTGTTCCCCATGCTGTACTTTTCATCCCTGTGACTCATTTTGTAACTGGAAGTTTGTACCTCTTAATTTCCCTCACCTATTTCACTCATCCCTCCACCGCCCTCCCATTTGGCAACCACCTGTTTGTTCTCTATATCTGTGAGTCTGTTTCTATTTGTTATATTTGTTTATGTATTTTGATTTTAGATTCTCTGACTTATTTTACCTAGCATAATACCCTCGAGGTCCATCCATATTGTCACAAATGGCAAGATTTCATTCTTTTTATGGTTGAGTAGTATTCCATTGTATATACATACCACATCTTCTTTATCCATTGCTCTATTGATGGACTCTTAGGTTGCTTCCATATCTTGGCTATTGTAAATAATGCTGCAGTGAACATAGGGATACATATAACTTTTCAAATTAGTGTTTCTATTTTCTTCGGATAAATACCCAGGAATGGAATTGCTGGATCATGTGGTAGTTTTATTTTTAATTTGGGGGGAAACCTCCATCCTGTTTTCTATAGTGGCTGCACCAATTTACATTCCCACCAACAGTGCATGAAAGTTCCCTTTTCTCCACATCCCTGCCAACACTTGTTATTTGTTGTCTTTTTGATGATAGCCATTCTAACAGGTGTGTGGTGACACCTCATTGTGGTTTTGATTTGCATTTCTTTGATGATTAGTGTTGTTGAGCATCTCTTCATGTGCCTGCTGACCATCTGTATGTCTTCTTTGAAAAAATGTCTGTTCAGGTCCTATACACATTTGTTTCTTTGATGTTGAGTTATATGAGTTCTTTGCATATTTGGGATATTAACCCCTTATCAGATATATCGTTTGCAAATGTCTTCTGTTTTGTAGGCAGTCCTCCCTTATTTGTGCATCACATTATGACATGGTAATTAATCATGTACCTTCTGCTCCTTGCTTGTATTGCTGTCCAGCGGAGCACTTAACCACAGGATGTAATTCAACTGTTCACATATTAATGCCTGGTTTTCCCAATTTTGTAAGATGCTTACGATTGTGTAATCAACTTATTTGCCTTTTAACAGCATCTAGTATACTGGACGTAATTAAATAACCAGATCCTACACGTTATTTCCAGTTATGACACTTGGTGTCTGTGTAAATGAACATGTTACTTCTCAGCCTAAGCTTGCTCATTTCTTAAAAAATAATACCTGCCAGACTTGTTTCATAGGATTGTTCAGTGAAGGTTCAAATGGGATAACCTTAATGAAGGCACTATTTAAACAACAAAGGACAATAATAGATGCAGGATATTATTGCCTTTGGTATAAACTCAAAAGGAAAGCCCCAATTCAGGGTAAATAAATTGAAACAAAGGGACTCATGAACTTAACCACTAATGCACTGCCTGGCAATAAAAATGGGGCGAAAACACATCTATGACAGGTATTAGAAATAGCTACTATTTCATTCCAAACATGAGATCAAAATTTTGGGGCGAGAGGGGAAGTGAGAAACTGACGAGAACTTCAAGGTGTTTTGCGTATTTGTGATTACTCTTGAAAGATAGGTCGTTGCATAGATGGCAAGATTTTAGTGCTTTTGGTAGTAAAGCAACACTAGAAAAGAGAAGGGGGTAAATACCGTTGTTATCAGGTTCCTTGCATGGCAGGAGTGGGAGAAAGAATTTCAGTGGAAAAGGAAGAAAGACATTTGAAAGGCAGAACTCCTATAAAAGATTGATTGGTGAGTGAGGTACCCCCAGTCATTCCCAGTCACCCAGGCCATACATTCTGGAATCTTTTGGTATTCCTTCCTCTTCTCTCTCTTGGCTGCCCATAGTCAATCATTCCCAAATCTTCGGAGTCGTCTTCTGTGGCCCCTGACCAGGGTCTCCACTTCCAGTGTCTCCCCACTCAGTGACCATGCCAGATGAAGCACAACATACATACTCTCCCACCCCCGTTGCTCAGGAATTGCCAGCATACCGAATTGCCCCTTAACCTGGTACTCAGGGCCTTGCCTCACAATCCCCAGCTACTTTCTGCCCAGGGTTCTTCAGCATAAGTCTCTGCATCAGCCAGTCACTTTGAGTCCTTTGAGCTCATGACACTCATTTCCACCTCTGCACACCTGCTCATGCTATACCTACCAGCAGAATATCTTTTCTGCATGTTTCCCAATCAAAACCGATCTATTCTTAACCCTGAGCTAAAATGCTACCTTTCCCCTAGGGCTTTCTCTGGCAACTGAAGCCCTCAAGAGTTCTCTTCTGCTTATTGTGCCATGTCTTTACAATGTCATTTCATTTCACCTTGCCTCGTGGCACCCCACCAAGGCTGTAATGTTCACCAGGGCTCTCATGCTTCTTTGTATTCCGTGCTCAAACAATACTTACGAAAAAAATTAAAATATCTATAAGCAAGCAGGAAAAAATCCTGCGTAAAATGCTTTTTCAAGAGAAGAAGTTAATTTGAGGGTAAGATGTAAAAAGTGGGCGGTGTAATTTCTAAGACACACCACTTGGGACTGCTGGGAAGTTCCCAACTGAGCCATGAACCCTATGACAGGCTGATTAATGGACACAATGAAATGCTGGAGATGAGGAGAGAGGATAATGAGTCCACAGATTTTATTTCATTTGAGCCTTCTCAAATCCCCTTTGCATATACTACCTCCTTTAAAGTGAAAGCCAAGATGTTCTGAGCACAGAACAGAGTGCAAAACAGGCACTCAAAATATTTGTTCAGTGAGTATGTAAAAACTGAGCCCTTTCAGAAAAGCAGTTAGCGAAGGTTAGGGATTACTTAGCAAAATGTTGGCAAATGCATGCACCCTGGAGCCAGGGATCACCTGGGAACCTTCTAATTATCGCAAGAGGTCTGTGATTCCCTGTGCACATCAACGTTATCCAAAGAAGGAAAAAATTAA